AGATGTAAATATACTATAAGATGTAAATATACTAAATATACTAAGAATAGAATAGAATATATATGATATAAACACCCTGTGAAGTGATTATTGAGTGGGAATTTGCACTGTGATATAAATCTTCACTTGAAACACAATAAAATAACTATCTAAGAATATGGTTGGAGTTTCAAGAACATGGTAACAACCCAAATGTCCAACCATAATGGAATGGATTGAGAAATTCTAATTCACAAGACAGAATACTACGCAGAATGCAGAAGCAATGATTTTGTAAATCACTACCTAACTTGGGAGGGACTGGAGAGCACTATGCTGAGTGAAATAACTCAGTCCCAAAGTATATGAGGATTGGAGGGAGGAAGGTAAAAGCAGGGGGGTGAGGATGGGTACCGGTGTGTGTATGGTTAATCAAAGTGTCTCACAATTTGATGGGTGGCAGGAGGGATGGGTAAAGGAAAGGGGAAAGATGGTGTGAAAAACAATACATGCAAACTTTTTTGAGCTTTGTAAGTAAACCAGTATAAAATTATTTTTGTAGAACGTGCATGAAGATCTGGGGAAGGGCTGGCAGGGTGAAAGCAGAGGGGTGAGTGAGAATGGGCAGTGGGGTTGGAGGGGGATAGTTAATCATAGAGTCACACAATTTGATAGGTAGAGGGAGGGGTGGGAAAAGGAAATGGGAAAGATCTGGTGTGAAAAACAATGTGTATCAACTCTGTAAGTAAACCAGTATAAAAGAAAAAATTTATTTAAAAAAATAGTTGGAAAGAGACTTGGGTGATTTGGGTTTTTGTTTTTGTTTTGTTTTTTTTACTAGTTTTATAACAATTAGATTTGTGAATAATCTTAATACAAATGGTCATTTGTGACATGACTGCTTTTCAATGTCAGACAAGTGAGAACGCAAATAAGCCTGAACAGAGATGAAGAGCTTTCAGAAAAACAGAGGTCACGATTCTGCGAGCTGCCCGGCAAGAAGCATGTGAGTATCACTGTAGGATTCACGCTCCAGGAGGAAACCTTTGCTGCTCTGTCCAGAGCCTACTTTATACCTGGCTCAGTAAATACTCAGTGAATGAATGTATTGGTAGCAAATGGAAGAAAACAAAACCCAGTTAAAATAGCTTACTCTCCTGTATTTAAAAGCAGGAGTTAACACTGGAAATGTTGTTGTAAGCTGTTAGGTGCTGTCAAGTGAAACATGACTGACTTGTAAAGAACCTATGAATGACAGATCAGAACCCTGTCCTATCCTGAGCCATCTTTATCATCTCTGACATACTAGATCCCGTTGCTGTAGTTGTTGTGTTAATCTATCTTAAAATGAGTGGGGAGAAAAATGTATTCCATGTCTTAAGAGGTTGATTGAGGCTAGCATTTGTTTTCATTGCAGTACCTGGAATAAACAGAATGTAGTGCATGTTTACAGCAGATGAAAGAGAAGGGGAATGCTTCTTCTTATAGGAAAAGAGTCTTTCAAACAGAGTTAAATTACCCTTTAAGAATTGTGTCAGGAAAATAGCCAGTGATGTTTTCAGTAGAAAAAGAAAATCAGTGATATAGATAGATCGACACGGTGACTTCAGCAATGGTCTCTAGTGTGTCAGAGACGGTGAAGATGGCATAAGATGGGGCAAGGTTCAGGTCAGCTGTTCATAGGGTGGCTGTAAGTTGTACTGGACGATATCAAACAATAAGAACAATAACAACAATAACAACCAGCTGTTCCACCAGACAAGAATGAACAACATCCTCCTGTGCCATTTACTGCCTCTGAAAACCAGCTATTCAAAGGCATGTAACAACATATATATGTGTGTTGTTTCCCTCAACAGAAAGAGCACTAATGCTAAAGCAGGTTAAGCGTCTGGCTGCTAACTGAAAGACTAGCAGTTCAGACTTACCCGTCACCATGTGGGAAAAAGACAGTCTTCTCACGCTAAGATTTATCATCTCAATATTTGCCAATTATATGTTTACTATTTTTTACTCTCCCTTCCCCTTCGCTGGTTAATAGGCACATTAAGATTTGTGAGGGGGAAAGGCAATAGCCAGTAAGGGGATGGTTAGCACAGCATCACCAAAGGAAGGGAAGACACAGAGAGGTCTAGAAAAGATTGATGAAAATTAGAATTATAGGGAAGAAGTGGGAAAAGTATGATTATACTGTAGACATTGAAATTCATGAAATTAATGTTATTGAACAAAATATGTATAGATGGCTGAATGGAAAACCAATATGCTTTGTAAAACTTCACTCAAATAAGTTTTTAAAACTGAGAATAAAAAAATATTCACTGTCTTGGAAACCCAGTGTTGGAGTGTATGTGTGTGTGTGTGTATAAAGCAAATAATTTTTTAATTCAGCAGAACACCATAATGGTTCATTTTTTTGTGTGTCAAATTGGCCAGGCTATAAATATAGGGGCTTTGGACAGAACTCATTATATCTCACCCTTTGCATGCTTTCTGTCCCCTGTCCCATCTCACATGGTGATCTGGGGATGTCTGCAAACTTGTGTCAGGCAACAGAAGGATTTATATCAGATCCTTGGGTAAGGCAAAAGAAAGTGTGCAAGAGAGGGTATAGAGAGTTGCCAAAATATGTATACTTTGCAGATAGAACACATTTTAAGGAAACTCCTTTTTTTAAGGCTGTAAATTACACAGGGGGAGATTGCCCATCTTTCTCCTGCAAAACCACTGATGAATTTGAACTGCATTTAGGGAAGTACAGCTCTGCAGACCACACCACCAGAGCACCCTAGGAGAAATACAGCCTCTGGAAAATATGGTACACATCTGTTCTTTTTTTAGTAAACAACGTAAAAATTATAATAAAAAATTCTTTGTTTTCTACAGTCCAACCGAGTCTGTCTGCAGCCATCGAAGCGAAAGCCACTGCCTCCTCTTCCCGTCTCTGAGGATGCTGATGAGATGATCCAAGTCAAGGCACTTTATGACTTTCTGCCCAGAGAACCTTGCAATTTGGCGTTAAAGAGAGCAGAAGAATACTTGATACTGGAGAAATATACTCCTCACTGGTGGAAGGCAAGAGACCGCTTGGGGTAAGACAGTGGTATTGTTGTTATTGTTATGTGCTGTCAAGTTTGAACTGACTCCTCGCTGACCCTCCAGCAGTTTTTTAGAGGCAATTAGTTAATCACAAGAAGAAGACTGCCCATCGCCTGCCTTTGAGTTGGCAGTGCAACACCTTAGCCGCTAGGCTACTGGAGCTTCCTTGGATGATAGTTTGGCCCTTATCATATTCCTATTGCATTATTCTCTAAAGACTTGTGAACATTAGGATAACTGACTGCTTATTGGCTCGTATTCTCCTGCTTTATAATTCTTTCCTCTGCATGAAATAGAATCAGTCTTCATGTGCTTCCATTAGTATGAGAAAGCATTCTAGCACAGCAGGGCAGAACATCACATATGCCTGGCTTCACATCCAGACTCCTCAACGTACTATATTGTATGTCTTTGGACAAGTCCCAACATATGCTTTCTGAGTTTTCATTGCTTTGCTTATAAAATGGAAATGATAATTCCAGATGCTTCTAAGGGGTAAGACTGGTGAAACTCCATCACACACATTTTTGGACATGTTGTCAGGAGGGACCAGTCCTTGGAAAAAGACATATAGGAAAAAGTCAAGTCAGTTGAAAGGGAAGATGACTCTCAATAATATGGGTTGACCTAGAGACTACAACAATGAACTTGAGCATGATGGAGACTATGAGAATGGTGTGAAACAGGGCGAGGATTTAACCTGTTGGTCATAGGGTTGCCATGAGTTGTAGTTGACTCAACAGCACTCAACCAATCATCTAGGTTCTTGCTCTAATTTGCATATTCTTTATTTGGAAATGTGTCTGATTGTTTCTATAAAGATTGAAGGTAGAAGAAATCTAAGGCAAAAACAGAGAAAAGATATTTTTTTAAATTTCTTTTATCTTATGTTGGTCTGCATACAAAATCCAAATATATATTGTGTTTCATTCATATACACTGTGTTTCAAACATTCCTTCATTCCCACTGGGTTTAGTACAATAATTCCCATAAGCTGTGCTTTACAAAATTAACCATCATTGTCTTTTCAGATCCTAATTGGATCTTTCCTAATTCCTTCATCCCCTTCCTCTACCCACCAAACTCTGCAACTGCATAATTTCCTCCCCTTAACCTCTTTAGTCCTCTATATCTGCTCCTTCCCTCTTTGGACATTTATACACATCTTACAAGTTATCCTTCTATTTTTACAATAATAATATTATGCAGTATTTGTTCTTATGAAACTAAGTTAGTTCACTCAGCATATTGCTCTCTAGACTTTCCAATGTAATATTGTTGTTATGTACCGTTGACTCTCTTGTGACTCATAATGACCCTATGTACAAGAGGCCTAAACACTGCTCTATCCTATGCCAACCTTGCTATCTCAGACACACTCATTCCCACCACCCCAATCACAGATTGATCCATCTCATCGAGGGTCTTCCTCTCCTGTGCTGTCCCTCAACTCTCCCAAACATGTTGTCCATCTCCAAGGACATGCAACATGCCCAAAGTATGTCAGATGAAGCTTCAGAATCCTTGACTCCAAGGAGCATTCTGACTTCACCTTCTCCAGGACAAACCTGTTTGTTCTTCTAGCAGTTCATGGTATATTCAACACTCTTCTCCAGCACCACAGCTCAAAGGCATCAATTCTCTTTCTCTCATCCCTATTCACTGTCCAACTCTCTGATGCATAGCACCTAATTGCAAAGACTATAGCCTGGATAAGGCACACCTTAGTCTCCAGCCTGATGTCGTTGCTCTTCAGTACTCTTGAGAGGTCCCTCACAGCTGACTTTCCCCATGCAATTCTTCTCCTGATTTCCTGGCTGCTGCTACCATGAGTGCTGACTGTGGAGTCAAGCAAACGAAAATTGTTAACTTTCTCAATCTCTTCACCATTCATCCTGATGCTGCTAATTGGTCCAGTGGTGAGAATCTTTGTCTTCTTGACATTGAGCCTCAATCCATATTGGAGGCTGCAGTCCTTGATCCTCTGCAGCAAGTGTTTCAGGTCCTCCTCAGTTTCAGGAAGCAGGGTTGTGTCATCTGCATAACATAGATTGCTGATAGATCTTCCACCAATCCTGACGCCACACTTCTCCTCATAGAGCCCAGCCTCCTGGATAATCTGTTCTGCCTACAGGTTGAAAAGGTATGGAGATAGGACACATCCTGGCATACACCCTTCCCAATTTTGAACCGTGCAGTGTTTCCTTGGTCTGTTCTGAAGACTTATATAATATTTTTCCTTATGGAACTTAGTTCACTTAGCAAAACACTCTGCAGTCCCTCCCAAGTTAGGCAGTGATTTTAAAAATCATTGTTCCTACATACTGTGCAGTATTCAATTGTGTGAATGTAAATAATTTCTCAATCCATTTGATTGTGATTGGACATTTGGGCTGTTTCCATATTCTTGTGATTGAGAATAACACTGCTATGATCATTGATGTACAAATCTCTGTGCTTCAGTTCTTATTTTTCTCAGAGTATATTCAAGCAGTGAAATAGCTGGGTCCTATGGAATTTCTATGTTCACCTTTTTAAAAAAATTTATTATTAATTTCAATGAAAATTTACAGAGACTTTGGATTTCCATTCATTCATTGTTGCACTTTTCTCCCCTCCAAATCCTCTCCCGCCTGTAGTACACTATCCTCTTGGAAAAGTAAAAGAAAAATTCTTTCATTGTTTTACAGTCCCTCCCCCCAGGTCCACTCCACTATGCAGCCTCCACTCTGGACTCCCATCATGACAAAAATACCTAATCATATATCCTTTTTAAACAGTTTTCTCCCTCATCTGTTTCAATGCAGTATACATTATTTATCCCATCTTTCTCAGTCTCCCCCAGCCCCAATGTCAATCCTGTTTTACAACAGTGGCACCATGCAGTATTTGTCCTTTTGTGACTGAGATACTTCACTCAGCATAATGTCCTCCAAGGTCACCCATTTTGAATAATATTGCATGAGCTCCTTGTTTTTCAATGCAACATATTATTCCATTGTGTGAATATACCACAGCTTCTCTATCCACTCATTTGTTGATGGGCACTTAAGTTGTTTCCAACTCCTTGCTATTGTGAACAAAGCTGCGATAAACATGGGTGTGCATATATCTGCTTGGGTGGCAGTTATGGTCTCTTTGGGGTATATTCCCAGTAGTGGAATTGCTGGGTCAAATGGTATCTCTATTTGCAACTTTTTGAGAAAGCGCCACACCCCCTTCCACAGTGGTTGCACCATTTTACACTTCCACCAACAAGTGAATAAGGGTCCAGTTTCCCCACAACCTCGCTAGCATTTGTTGCTTGCTGTTTTGTTAAATTTTGCTATTCTGATTGGGGTGAGATGATATCTCATAGTTGGTTCATTCAGCTTTTTGAAGAAACATTAAACTGCCTTCCAGAGTGGTTGTACCACTTTACAATCCCACTAACAGTGTATAAGAGTTCCTGTCTTTCCACATTCTCTCCAACATTTATTACTTGCTGTCCTGTTAAACTTGGCCACTGCTACTGGTGTGAGATGGTATCTCACTATGGTTTTGATTTGCGTCTCTCTTATGGCCAATGATTTTGGACATTTCTTCATGTGTCTACTGGCCATCTGAATATCTTCCTCTGTGAAAACTTTTTACATGCCTTTTGCTCATTTTGTAATTTTGTTATCAGTCTTTTTCTTGTGGAGGCCCTGTAGGATTCTGTAAACTGTTGATATGAGACACTTGTCTGAAATGGTATTGCCAATTCCCCACGCCCCCCAAGTCACTAGATTTTCTTTTTACTCTGTTGGAAAATGTATTTGATGTCCCCAGGATTTTAATTTTTAGAAGGTCCCATTCATTAATTTTATCCTTTCCAGATTGCGCATTTCTGATTGTATTTGGCAGTCTGTTTATACCATAAACTAGGCCATCTAAGCTTGATCTCCATTTGTCTCTGATAAACTTTATGGGTTGGGGCTTTACTATCAGGTTCCTGGTCCACTTTGAATTGATTTTTGTGTATGGTGTCAGATGTGGATTCTGTTTCAGCTTTTGGCAGGTAGCAGCCAGTTTTGCCAGCATCATTTGTTGAAGAGGTTGTCACTTTCCAATTTGATAGGTTTTATTTCCTTGTCGAATATCTTTGGTCAAGTTGACCAAAGATAGACGGGTCCTTTTTTGATTCCTAAATAACATTAGATCGTATTTATTTTTAATCATTGCTCCTGAGTGCTGCATAGTATTTCCACATGGAATGTACCATAATTTCTGAATCCATTTGCTTTTTGATGAACATTTAAGTTATTAATTTTTTTTTTGCTATTGTGAATAATGCTGCTATGAACGTCAGTGTATAAACCTTCATTTGCATCTCAGTTCTATTTTCCTTGTGGTATATTCCTAGAAGTGGAATAGATCATATGGAATTTCTGGAAAACATCCTATTTATTTTTATAATTTTTTTAATGGAAACTGGTTTTAGAGGCAAATCTTGCAGTCAAGTAAAAAAAGTCAAAGGTATTTCTATGGAGTGGAGTCAACTCCCAGCTGCCCCTCTAATGGAGTCTGAGAAGCTATAAATCGCTCTGGAGGAGATAGTCCTCCCCCCCCACGACCCCGGAGTCATTGGTGGGTTTGAACTGCCAGAGAGGTGTTACCTTTGGGCGAGCAGCACAACTCCCTACTGACTACCACCAGATCTGCCTAATAGTGCAGTGATCGCTCAATTAAATTTGAAAGAATGAATTAAAATTTGAAAGAAAGAAATTAAATTTGAAAGACCCAGGCTGCAAGTAGATTCCATTGTGAGTGCCAGTTGTAGTAGATTGTTAGGGTCTGACTGGAGTGCTGGAGTAAGAAGAATTCTGAGAAGTATCTCCTGTCCCTGGGAGAGAATGCTGGGATTGATTTCTGGTGTTTACTGAATGATTATATTGAGGATTAGACGTTGATAGTATTTGCTGATAATAGTAAAACATATATATTGAGACAAAAGAGAAGTATTGCACAGAA